AAGGTCGGTGAAATTTAGAATAACAGAGTTGGAAGATAACTTGTAGGTCTTCTAATCCAACCCCCTGCTTAGGCAGGAAACCCTACACCACTTCAGACAAATGGTTATCCAATCTCTTCTTAAAAACTTCCAGTGTTGGAACTTTTACAACTTCTGGAGGCAAGTTATTCCACTGATTAATTGTTTTAACTGTCAGGAAGTTTTTCCTTAGTTCTAGATTGCTTCTCTCCTTGATCAGTTTTCACTCATTGCTTCTTGTCCTGCCGTCAGGTGCTTTGGAGAATAGTTTGACTCTCTCTTCTCTGTGGCAGCCCCTGAGATATTGGAACACTGCTATCATGTCATCCCTAGTCCTTCTTTTCATTTCTTATGCATGCATGGATTCATGCATAGACCTGGATATAAAAGCCTTGTTGTCTCCATAGATGTTGCAGATGCTTAGCTTACTGTGGGTGAGAGTGTAGGTTCAGGAGACGAGAGGTGGATGTCTTTAAAAACCTTCAAAAGTGTGCAAGGAAGAGACATTGCAAACCATTTGATGGTGCAGAGGCTGTCTCTTCACCTTTTTCATTTCAAATACTGCTTGTTGTGGCTTTTGCTTGTGAGGTGCTGTTTCATATTTCACCTCTTGAAGCCTTGTGGGAAAGGAAGAAATAAACAAAACTTTTAGGAAAGAAAAGTAATAGAAGGCCCTCCAGTTCATGTCTGTCACACGAGATTTATTGGGATGGGTGGCCGGTGAAAGAAAACGTTTGTTAAATGGAAACATAAGGCATTTGTATTAGCAGCAAAAGTCTCATTATCTATAAAAGTGATTATATGTGATCTGGGATTTTACAGTATTTTGCATCAGGTCCCCATTTAAACTTATCCTGAATAATTCAAAGGTTCCATTAAATGATTTTTCATATTTTGATTCCAAAATGTCAGAAAGTACGTCTTATTTGCCTTTTTCCGTGTCTAATTTTGTTCTTCCGCTCTTCCTAGTCATTCGAGTTTGTAGCATTAAGCAATTTATATCTGGCATCGATTGAGTCAAAACAACTGTGAACAGACACAGGAACGTGGATATCTAGATTGGTAAACCATAAAGAGCTCTCACTTTTACTTTGAGGGGGTGGGTTAGTTTATTGTAATGAGTTCACTTTAATGAGGAATGCTTCTTCCAATATTTTTTACCTCTCCCTTTATACTCCTTTGAAATATACAATTACGAAGATTCTTTCCTTCCATTTCTTTTAGGGTAGAAGAAAGCATTCCAACATGCATTTTATCAAAGTGTGTGCAAGTATGGATTACCGTACTTTTTGGAGTATAAAACGCACTCCCCCCTCCCAAGAGGGTGGAAATGTTGGTGTGTCTTATACACTGAATACAGCCATTTTGGGCCTCCTGAAACCTTGCCCTGCATGTCCAGTTTTCGCCAAAAACAGGCCCATTTTTCGCAAAAACAGGATGTGCAGAGGGTTTGGGAGGCCTGCAGAGTGCTCCTGGGGACTGGGGAGGTCAAAAACACGATGCGTGGGGGGTTGGGGAGGCCAAAAATTCCCAACCCCCCCCATGCGTCATGTTTTTGCTCTCTCCAGCCCCCAGGATCACTCTGCAGGCCTCCCAAACCCTCTGCACGCCCCATTTTTGCAAAAAACAGGCCCATTTTTGGCCTCTCAAACCCCCCATGAACTGCGTTTTTGCCCTGCCCGGGCTCCCAGGAGCACTCTGTAGGCCTCCCAAACCCTCTGCGCATCCTATTTTGTGAAAAATGGCCCGTTTTCCCCAAAAATGGAATGCACAGAGGGTTTGGGAGGCCTGCAGAGTGCTCCTGGGGCAGGGGTGAAATCTAAAATTTGTTACTACTGGTTCTGTGGGCTGGGGGGGGGGGGTAATGTGACTGGGTGGGCATGGCCAATTTTTTTTAAACTTTCAAAACCATTTTTTACATGTAAAACCATGTTAAAAAATGCTTTCAGAAGGCTCTCACGATCCCAGCTGAGTTGCCTGATTAGCAGGCAACTCAGCTGGGATTGTCAGAGCTTGGATTGTCAGAGCTTGGATCTTCAGAGCCATTTAAAAGAAAAAAAAAGGCTCTGATGACCACGCGGCTCAGCTGGGCATGGGAGGCGGGGGCAGGGATTTTTGCTACCGATTCTCCAAACTGCCTGCCGCCATCGCTACCTACTCGCCCGAGCCGGTCCGAACTGGGAGCATTTCACCCCTGTCCTGGGGGCTAGGGAGAGCAAAAACTGGGTGCGTGGAGGCCAAAAACTATTTTTTTTCTTGTTTTCTTCTTCAAAATCTTGATGTGTCTTATACTCTGGTGCGTTTTATAGTCCGAAAAATACAGTATATGTAGAACATAAAAATGACTTGGTGCATCTTATGAATGAGTGGAATTAAGGGGTATGAGAAGATCATTATCTTTCACAGGGTGGAGTGCAATCATACCTCTAGGGCAATGATGTTTCATAAAGAAAGGGCCACCACTGAGAAGTTCATTTTTCATGGTCCCACCAGATATGGAGCCCTAATCGATGGGACCTGAAATACGTGTTGTCTTCCCATCTTGGTGGTAGGTTGAGTGGATGTAGTAGTATATGAAGCACAAGCTATCAACATTGCTTTTATACCGGATTGGGGAGAATTTCCAGGTTTCTGAAGAATCCTTGTTCTTTCTTTAAAAACTGGGATGGTAAAAGGAGATTCAAGAGCTACGTCGAATGCAAACTGATCTTACACTTGGTTTTTCAGATTTGTTAATAACTGGCATTCTTTTCTAGTTACCATGGCTTTGCTGTGCTAACAGCACAGAGAATAAAGGGCTCACCCGGTTAGATCCAAGCAGCCTTACTGCACTGATTTGCAGATACCTATCTGGAAGGTGCCAATTTGGAGAAGACCTAGCCTAGGTCATGGATTTTTGCTTAAATGGCTGTTAGCAGATGCAGTCCATTGCTCAAGTCCATACAAAGCGTGCACAAATTGTTACTTCTGAAAAATGGATGGATGACACCTAAAATGGCCAGGTGTTTTAGTACAGGTTGGAGGAAAATGGAACTTTTTGGAATTCCATGTCTCTGGAATGGATTGTTTTGCAAATGTCTGTCTTAAAGATTTGCTATATGTATAAAAATCTCTTCTGTCCCCCCCCCCCCACCAACGCTAGTTCTCCTTGTTAGATGTCTGGGTCAACAAAACTGGCTCATTTTTCATTTACAGCTGTAAATTAGAGTCCATACAGAATGACTCCTAGCAACAGCCTCCTGTTGTGATTCCATATTTTGCTATTAAAGCTGTTAGAAATCCTGAAGTCTAGTTGCATTTAAACCAATCCTTTATTCAACCTCATTTTCAAAAATGCAGTTGGTTGGGGGTACTTGGATGTTTTTTCTCATGTTTTTAGTTTTTTTTTTCTTTTGCCTTTATAATAATGATATTTTCAGTTCGGGTTTCACTTTACTGTAAGGTTTCTTTTATATATGTTTACGTCTTCCTTTCCCTTTTCTTCGTTTTCACTTTTTGTTTTTGTTACCTACTTAATTAAACATTGCAATTATCAAAAACTTCGTTGCTTACGGCTAACCATTCTCTAGGTTTTGCTTTTCATGATGGGCATACTTGAACACATTTATTGGCTGCAGTAGTCTTTTTAAAAACAAGTGTTCTACATTTTTCTGTATGCAGCTGAATAATCTGCAGCTTGACAAACAATAGTTGCTTTGTTATTTTTATTTTTTACCTTGTACTTACTTTCTCTCTCATTCAGTGTCTGAAAATAGGAACTTACTGCTTATGATGGAAAAACAAACCTTTTAGATTCCAGAAATATTTCACTTCCGTTTGCATTTACTCTGGTGTACTTTGGTCTTCCTTGACCAGATAGAAATATCCTTCAGATGGCACTCATAAGATCTTTATGCCAAAGTCTTTGGACCATTCCCATCTTGAGAAATCTTCTTTGCCCTCTAAACTGGTGTGAAAGAGCCAGGGGTGGGCTCCAAAAATTTTAGCAAGGGGTTCTCTGCCCAGTCGCCGGGTGGGTGTGGCCATGGTGGGTGTGGCCTAGTCAGCCTCCTGCACCACAATGGGTGGGTGGGGTGTTTTTGCCCTCCCCGGCTCCAGAGGCTTTTTTGGGGCCTCCGGGAGGGCAAAAACGGCCTCCCCAGGCTCTGGAGGCCCTCTGGAGGCCAGAAACAGGGCCATTTCCGGCCTTCCTGAACTTCTGGTAGACCTGTTTTTCACCCTCCCTGAGCCTCCGTGCACACCCTGCAGTTACCTGCATCCAAAATGGGCCACTTGGGGACTCCTGGGAGGGGCAGGGTGGGCAGGGACAGCCAGGAATGGGATTTGGGGGATCTCCAAACTGCACAGAATCTTAGCTAGAGGTTCTCTCAAACCCCTGTGAACTCCAAGCAGCCACCCCTGAAAAGGGCGCATTTAAGACATTGGTTTGGGTATTGTCTTTCTCTCTGTGCTAGTGGCTGGCCCTGTTCTTCTATACATTATCAAGGCAATCATTCTTTTTCGTGTAGAATTTGCCTATTATAGTCACCTAGGCAACCTGACCAATTTGAGATGAGCAGGGTCAAAATGGATCACCCAACCGGTATTCTTGAAACAGACTTTGTTGATTTTTGAACTTTACATTGCAGTTTCATTTGAAAAGAGATTTGGATTCGATCGTGAACTTGATCAACTGATGTGTGGGTTTGTGTGAATATTTAGCTTAAATTTTGTGAGAGTCAGTGGCAATCAGGATATTGGACCACACCCCAGTTACATGCCATCCAAAATGTACCTTAAAGCTATTAGAAAAGAGAATTAAAATATCCTAAAACCATTGAAAATGAAACAGGGCTTCTGTTTTTAAAGCGGTCTCCATTTCGGAAGGCAGACAAAATAAATCTGAGAAATCCCATGAAATAGTGCTCTTATGAAGTATTGTTTGGATTCGGTTAAAATATCTGGTTTGGGCTCCCTTTAATTTTCTCGTTTTTTTTTTCCAGGATCCCGCAGGCATCTTTGAATTGGTTGAACTGGTTGGCAATGGGACTTACGGACAAGTGTATAAGGTAAGATTTATGTAACTTCTGTTTGCACGGGTTTATATGCAAAACATTCCTTTGCTTACCCTTCTTTTACTATTTTGGGATTCTGAATTATTAATTCATGAAGTTCTTTCCGTTTTCTTCAAGCTTTCTTACAACCTCCTGCAACGGTATAAAATGGTGAAAGGAAACACGACAATGTCTGTTCTTCTTTGCATAATTTAGCGAATAAGCAGACTTCAAGAAGATGGGAAAAAAGATTCTTAAATTGATGCAATACACTATGGCTGATTCTTGATAGTTTAATTTGCTGGATCCCAACAGAGGCAGCCCCTATGTTTCTGAAAAGAGTGAAAGATAAAGCAGTAGGACAATCTTCAACTAACATAAAGATCACCTTCTGAGTTGAGAAACTCTCACAGCTTTCCAGCTAGTCTGAGGAAACCTGTAGTATGACTTATCCCCTTCTAGTCCTCTCACCTCTATCTCTTATCAGAAGACAAAGGTGACTCTTCTACGGTATGAGGAAAGCAGATCCTCAGGACTACCAGCTTGAGTAAGTGTGAAGGTGATAACGTAGCTTTGTCAAACTGGTAGGCTTGGTTTTAGAATATCCATCTCCATGGCTAGCCAGTTGGCGATAATGAGTTTGTAATCCAGTACTGCTAAGGGGTGTTGCATGGCAGAAGCCAGGGTTAACAATTACTCTACATGCAATCTGGTAATTTCAGTTGATAAAATGCTGAGATTGTATTTCACGGTCACTGTCAATTTAATTATGAGTGCAGTTGCAACAGGGAGGATACTTGCTTCAAGTGACAGGCTTTGTAAAACTATTAAAGGTTGATTATTATTATTTTTTTACTTGTTTAATTGCTTGTTTGTTTTTATGATTACAAGAAGTGCTGTTTTTGTGATGGACCTCAACATTTCTTGGGCTGTGCTGTCCTTTATAATCTCTTGAAAAATCTTGCCTTTTACACATTGGTATCCTTATATCTCTTGGACTATAACCACATGGTCCTATATATTGTATAGGTAGACTTTGCTTAACAATGCTAACTGGGATTCTCAATTCCATCAATAAGCAGTATAATTTCAAAGCACAATATCACATCATTGTGCCAACTTAACAACAGTAGTCTGAGCAGTCCAAATTAGAGTTGTTAGCTGAATCCTACACCTTTGTTAGGCACCATTGATGATTGCCTTCTTCTATTGACTTTGCTCGTTGGACACCAGCACAAATGGTGATCATGTGATCGCAAGATGCTGCAAGGATCTGCAACATCCATATTACAAGGATCAGTTTGAAGTTTTCTTGTTCAGCACTATTCAAGCGGTCACTGAAAAACTTACTAAACCAGTGATGGCTAACCTTTTTGCCATCGCGTGGCAAAAGCGTGGGGTGTCACACACACGCGTGCCCGCACCCATAATTGTATGCATCCCGATCCCCGCGTATGCGTGCGTGACACCTCCGCGCTGACCCCGCTTTTGGCATGCGATGGCACAATAGGCCCGGTAGGCCCATTTTTCACCCTCCCCAGGCTCCAGAGGCTTTCTAGGAGCCTGGGGAGGGCGAAAATGGCCTTCCCCACCCTCCCCGGAAGTCCTCTGGAGGCCGGAAACAGCCTGTTTCCCGACTTCCGGTGGGCCCAGAAGGCCCAAAAATCAGCTGGTCCATGGAGCTGAGCTCACGTGCCCACCAATATGGCTTTGCATGCCACGTGTGCCATAGGTTCGCCATCACAGTGCTAAACAAAAGCTACCTGTACAGGTAGTCCTTGATTTACAACCATTTGTTCAGTGATTTTTTGAAGTTACAACAGTGCAGAAAAAAAGTGACTTTAGACAGGTTTTCACATGTAAGACTGTTGCAGCCTCTCCATGGTTACATAATCAACATTTGGGTGCTTGGCAACTGGCATGTATTTATGACGGTTGCAGTGTCCTGGGGTCATGTGATCACCATTTGTAACCTTCCCAACTGGCAAAGTCAATGGGGAAATCCAGATTCGCACAATAACCACATGATTCAATTAACAACTGCAGTGATTCACTTAACAACTTTGACAAAAAAGATCATAAAATGGGGTGCAACTGACTTAACAGTTGTCTTGCTTAGCAACAGAAATTTTGAGCTCAATAGTCCTTGTAAGTCAAGAAGTATCTATACTATATTTGGAGGGAACCAGCTTAAGGAAGGACTGGCGAATAAGGATTTGCAAGCAAAAATTCTGGGTACCCTGTTATTTTATTTATCCTTGGGAGATAGGGCATAAAGATAGGAAAGGATAAATTTGAGCATTTACATTGCGTTAAATTATTCTTGTATGTGGTTTTGAAAATGGTGGTGAAGGATTAACAAATTTGGAGATGGTACAACTGAACCTGTTTTTTGTACTTCTGTATTTGACGTGCATAAACACTCATTTTCTTCCTCCTTTCCTGCTCCCTAAATCAAAGAAAAGGGGAAAGAAATAGAATTAGCAATAGGAAAGAAATATTTATTCTGAAATCTGCTTTCTCTATTCTTGTACTGCTGTGTGCTCATCTCTTCAATAAGCATGTTCAAAATTTGCCACTGAACCAAGACTGGAACAAAAATTTCTAGATGTTTTTGGAAGTGTGAATTTCCAAAATAACATCAAACTTTTGCTAAAATTATAATCTGCCAAAAATGTTTTATTAAAAGTGATTGCACAGGAAATACCCCTCCCCCTTAGAATGCTGAATTTTGCCTTGATTTGCTGAGGCTCAGTGCAGAGTGATGTCTAAACGGTTTTGTTCTGTTGACAAGATAACTATGGTGTTGACCTAGTTTTAAGTATCTGGTTAGTACTAATAGCTCCCGATGGAAAATGTGACAAAATCCTTTTTGAAAGCTTAATGTTTCAAGCAAAAAACACAATAAAAATGTTTACTAATCTTTATATGGTGGTCTTTCTATATTTATTTATTTTCCATTTTACTTCTTGCTGGAGCTTCAACTTATCTAAGTACACTTGAAAAAATCATTTTAAATATCGGAAGCAGTGCGTTTATCATTAACAAAAATGTTAAAGGAGTTGTCAAAGCATTAATGGGAAAGACAGAAATAGGAATAGCAATAGCACTTAGACTTATATACTGCTTTACAGTGCTTTACAGTCCTCTCTAAGGGGTTTACAGAGTCATCCTATTGCCCTCAACAATCTGGGTCCTCATTTTACCCACCTCAGAAGGATGGAAGGCGGAGTCAAAAGCCTGGTGAGATTCGAACTGCCAAATTGCAGGTAGCTGGCAGTCAGCAGAAGTAGCCTATAGTACTGCACTCTAACCACTGCGCCACAAAGGCTCTTGAAATACTTGTATTTTCACAGGTAATCTGTGTTTAGGCTTCAACAACCCAGATTAATTGATGTTCAGCAAAAAAAAATAAAAAATGCTACAGTAATATTAAGGCCTAGCAGCCTATCTGGATATATTGAGTTAAACTCAGAAGTATTTCTGAGTTTTTTTCTGTTTTTAATGCTGTCAGGAGACATTTTGAATTCCTTTTGTTTATTTGGCTCTTTATTTATTAAATTGATACAGCTGCTTATCTTACTACCATGACTTATAAGGTTTATAAGATTACAGATTCCCAAAACAGTACAGAAATGACTAAAAAAAATCCACATAAATCATTAAAACATTAAAGAATAAAACTGTTTAAATCCATTAAAGCACAATCTGCTGGAGAGCACCACTCATTTTCCTAGTCATATAGACATTTAGCAGGCTTTCCACCAGTGTCTTTGGATTGATAAAATTCTAAAGTGTGGATTTTTTTTTAAAAAAAGAATTTTGCCTGTAGCCATTTTCCACCAGTGGGAGGGCTCCCCCCGCCCCCAGATTTCTAGTAGAGGCAGTTGATTTGAATTGAGCCTGTTATTCTATTCTGTTCTGTTCTGTTCTGTTCTGTTCTGTTCTGTTCTGTTCTATTTCCTATCCTATCCTAATCCTATCCTAATCCAATCCTATTCATTTTGCAAACTTTTTGAGCAACTATCATCTTTGAGAGGAGAGACAAAGGAAGTCAAAACCTAGAAAAATTAGTGGGCCACTTTTCTTTTCAAAATTACCCCTCAATGTTTCTTTAAGTGTATGGCTTTCCCTTCCAAAAGCAGAGAAGGAACTGGTTGACTATGGCTAACATGTATGTAATCTCTCTGCTTGTAAAATCAGTTACTATTTTAGCCTGTTTTCCCATGGACATCTTGGATATAATAGATTTGAACCTGGAGTTTAGTTCACCAGTCCATTACATGTCCCTCTGTCTGTGAGTTGGGCAATAATGAAATTTTATACATAAATAGCAATAGCATTTAGACTTATATACTATATCGCTTTCCAGTGCTTTCCAGCCCTCTCAGCATATGGTCCCCAACAATCTGGGTCCTCATTTTACCAACCTACGAAGGATGGAAGGCTGAGTCAACCTTGAGCCTGGTGAGATTTGAACTGCCAAAATGCAGGCAGCTGGCAGTCAGCAGAAGCAGCTTGCAATACTCAACTCTAACCACTGCGCCACTGTGGCTCATAAATAAATTGTCCTTTCCATTGCTGTTTTGTTAATAGATAGGGGCAAGAATATACAGGGAAATGTTAATAGATAGAGGCAAGAATATACAGGGAAACTTACAACCATTCATTTAGCGACCATTTCAATTATAATGGCAATGAAAAGAGAGACTTATGTCCATTTTTCACACTTACGACAATTGCAGCATCCCCATGTTCATGTGATCGAAATTTGGACGCTTGGCAACTGACTCATCTTTATGATGGTTGCAATGTCCTGGGATCTTGTGAATACCCTTTGTGACCTTCTGACCAGCAAAGCAATGGGAAAGCTGAATTCACTTAACAACCATGTTACTCATTTAACAACTGCAGTGATTCACTCAACAACCGTGTGAAGAAAGGTCGTAAAATGGGGCAAAACTAACTTAGCCACTGTGTTGCTTGGCTTGGAAATGTTGGGCTCAATTATGGTCATAAATCAAGAAATACCTGTAGAAAACGTAAAATTAACCCTGCTCAGAAGGGAGTATAGGAAACAACAGAAAGCTGGTTTACTATTAATGCAAGGAAGATGTAAGAAGACAGGATGTCAGATACAAATTCAGGGAAGGATGTAAGTGCTAAGAATCAGCATTAGAGGCCATCAGCTGTTTGCCATGGTACTGTTCATGAGCTACCATGAAGATTTAGTCCATGCTCTGTTAAATTACATATAGCCAAGTCATTACTGCGAAGGGAAGCCTGACCTTGTTCCTAGTGTCTGAGTCATCTTCAGCAATGGATATGTAATGCAACATTTTGCCGCTCTTCAATATCTGAAAAAGGAAGGGATAAGGCCTCTTGGTAGAGTCACATGGGTATGTCCCAACACTTCCTTTTTGCTATTTAAAGATTATGGATTCCCCTATTCCTAAAATAATAACCATTGCTTAAAAAGTAGGACAACTAGGTCAGTGTTTCTCAACAAATTTAAGATGTGTGGACTTCATCTACCAGAAGAAAGTTGAGAAACCTTGAACTATGCCCAGGATTGGGTTACCTGAAAACTAGTATCTATGATTAAGGAAAGAACCTGAAATACTACATTCGTTTTCTTTTTTTCTTTTTTCTTTTTAAAATTTATACATTCGTTTTCAGATGACATACAGATAGTCCTTGATTTACAACAGTTCCTTTACAACGACACTGAAAAAAGTGACTTAAGACCGTTTTTCACACTTATGACCATTACAACATCCCCAGGGTCACGTGATCGAAATTCAGATGCTTAGCAACTTGCTCCAATTTATGACGGTTTGCAATGTCCCCGGGATCATGTTATATAACCCTCTTACAATCCTCTTATATGATTATAACCCTTCTGACAAGCAAAATCAATGGGGAAGCCAGATTCACGTAAGAACTATGTTGCTAACTTAACAGTACAGTGATTCACTTAACATCTGTGGCAAGGAAGGTTGTAGAATGGGGCAAAACTCACTTAACACATGTCTTACTTAGCAACAGAAATCTGGGGCTCCATCATAGTCCTTCCAGTCGAGGAACACCTGTAGTTGTTGTAGCTGTGCTAAGCCATGAGTGGGTGCGTCAGTGCTCAACTCAATGCATTCTGTGATTCTGGCTCAAGAATTAGTTGGTCATAAATAGGAGAAACATTTCCTACCCTGCGGTACGTTTGACACAGGTGTAAATTCTTGGCTCCCTATAATGCAGCTTAATTTGAATATGTTTTTATTTGAATGGGAGCACATCTTTGGCGGTGTATCCCTTTCATGTGAATCTGCTGGGTTTTATAATTCGACAATAACGGTCTGTGGTGAATCTCTTAAGTTCTTGTCATGTTAATTTTGTAGCTTAAATGAATACTGCGGCGGTGGTGGAGAGGGTAAAACACAAGGCTGGATTTGTCCATTGTTCACTGCAAAAGACTTTTCACTTGCGATGGATGCTTGCATTCATATGCATGCGTAAAAGACCCACCAAACCACTGTGCCTTCTTTGAAAAATTCTGGCGTGAGTGAACCAGTTCTGACCTTTTGTGTGTGTGTGTGTGTGCTGCTAAGGAATGCTTTTAGGGTACAAAAACGTATTAATTGTAGCTAGATATGCCATAGCTAGTAATTTCTGCTTTTCTTTGTGGCAAGTGGGAGGAATTATTTAGCTTTAAAGATAGTTAGCTCAGGGTGTGCATCTGTGTTCTTTGTTTCCTCTTCCTCTGTAAAAAAATAAATAAAATAAAATGCCTTCTCATCTCAAGACTTACCAGATAGCGGGGCGGTCTCCTAAGGAAGGCCTAAGCAGTTACTCAAAGCTTCTCTTTCTATTTTTATTGCCGTTTTGCAATAAAGGATACTGTGGTTGGTTTTGAAATCTCTCGCTGTTTAGTCTACCACCTGCTTGGATCTAATCTTTTATCCCTTTTATTCTAATCAATGCCATTATTTTGTACACCTATTGAGCGTTCGGTAGGCTTTTTTGGAGAAAGGAGGACAGGAAAGCGAGTGTCCTGCAGAGAAGTTCAGCATTTCCCTTCCCTCCCCCCTCTCTGATTCAGTTTGATGAAAGAGGGAATTTCTTTTAAAATGTTCAGCGAGGAAAAGGATGTTGAGTGAAATTTTCATGCAAGGAGTGAAAAGATAGCCCAAAGAGTTATGTGTGTATGTCTCACACACACACACACACACACACACACACACACACACAAACACACACACACACAAACACACACCTTACGTTTCATTGTACAGTCACATCTGTCATGGTTCTTGGCTTCCTACTTCCATTAAACCTCAATGATAATGTGAGAAAATGCAAACAATATCAAATATTTGAACTAGATACTGAGTGTTGACAAAACCATACAAAGAGAATGCATTAGGATATGAGTGGTAATAGAAGAATATCTATCTATCTATCTATCTATCTATCTATCTATCTATCTATCTATCTATCTATCTATCTATCTATCTATCTCAGGTTGAACTGTGGAGTTCTGTGGAACTCTGTTGTTGAAGAGGGAGCCAACCTAAAAGTAAAATAAAACTTTATGACAATGAGCACAATTAATCGATGGAATAACTTGCTTCCTTGGAATTATGGATGCTCCATCACTTTCAAAAATAGACTGTGTTGCATCCGGAGGCCGCACACGTGACAAGGACAGAGCAGCCGATTGGCCCGATCGTCGGCTACCAGCCGGCGGGAAATGGGCGCGTCCTGATTGGCCCAGCCGCTACAGCTCTGCATATTTAAGAGCTGTCAGTGCCTCAGAAGCTGCCCTGCTCTCCAAGCTCCTCAGCACCGAGCGGGTCTGATGTTAGCTGTTGTTGTTAATAAAAGTTGTTATTAATTCGCCTTGCCTCCACTCTCATACATTGTTCTCAGAACAGAACAAACTGGGCAACAACTTGACTGGGATAGTTATCAGTCAGTGATGGCAAACCTTTTTGGCACTGAGTGCCCAAACTGGAATGCGCATCATGCATGCGTGTGCATGTGCACATGCCGGAGTGCCGGAAATCCAAAGACCAGCTTGCCGGCGTGCACATGCCTGTATTTTGGCCAGTTTCAGGTCGTTTTCAGGGCCGTTTTACAGGCCCTTTTCTGGCCACTTTCAGGGCTGTTTTTTGGGCCAAAAACGGCCTGAAAACAGCTTGTAAAATGGCCTGAAAAACAGCCTGTTTTTTGGGCGGTTTTCCTGGCCACAGCATTCACGAAGACCAGCTGGCCGGAAACCAGAAAAACACCTGGTGACGGTGCGCGTGCCCACAGAGAGGGCTCTGCGTGCCACCTCTGGCATGCGTGCCATAGGTTCGCCATCACAGTTATAATGTCTCTTGCCTTGAACAGGAGGTTGGACTATTTATTTATTTATTTATTTATTTATTTATTTATTTATTTATTTATTATTTGTTTGTTTGTTTGTTTGTTTGTTTGTTTGATTTATATGCTGTCCTTCTCCAGAGACTCAGGGCGGCTTACAATGCGTTAAGCAATAGCCTTCATACTGTTGTATATACCTGCTTAGTAGGGTTTTCGGCCCCCCCTAATCAGTGTTCTTTTTTTTTTATACAAAGTCAGTTTATTGCCCCCACAATCCGGGTCCTCATTTTACCTACCTCAAAAGGATGGAAGGCTGAGTCAACCTTGAGCCTAGTGAGATTTGAACTTGCAGTAATTGCAGGCAGCTGGTGCTATTTAACAGCACTTTAGTCTGCTGCGCCACCAAGGGATGCCGCTGTAGCATCCCCGTGGTCATGTGATCAAAATTAAGACGCTTGGCAACTTGATAGCTGCAATGTCCTGAGCAGGGTGGATTTGATTTAAATCGAGTCGATTTAAATCATGATTTAAATCATGATTTAAATCACTAGTAAAAAGACTTGATTTAAATCAATTCGATTTAAATCATAATTTTTAAAAAGCAACTGTCATCTCTGCTATTCCTTTGACCGCTGTTGACTCACCGATAGTCCCAGTGTTGCAGAATATACAGCCTTGTGCTATATAACTAAGCTCCATTTCATGCTGAATAAACTAAATTATTTATGTATCTTAAATAGAAAACTATCTTACGATAGATTTTTACCCCAAAAGTTTTTTATTAAAATAAATTCAATAAAAATCAAAAAAATCCAATTTAAATAAAAAAAATCCAATTTAAATAAAAAAAATCTGATTTTTTTGATTTTTTAAAAAAATCATTGATTTTTATCCACCCTGGTCCTGAGGTCGTGTGATCACTGTTTGAGATCTTCTGACGAGCAAAGTCAATGGGGAAGCCACTTAACAACCAAGTTACTAACTTAATAACCGTAGTGATTCAGTTAACAACCGTGGCAAGAAGGTCACAAGATGGGACAAAACTCATTAACAACCATCTCATTTAGCAACAGAAATTTTGGGCTGTGGTCAAAAGTCGAGGACTACCTGTATACGGATCCTAACCCTCTTTCTGTAGGCCTTTGATTTCTTTGGAATTGCTGTGTTGAAATTTGACGGTGAGCCACAGATTACAGGGGCACAGTTTTCACTTGAAAACAATTTAGGCCCTAATAAGCTCAAGGCACTTCCTTTGTGAACCTGCCCCCACACCCGTGTGTGCCCCCCCCGGAAAATGTGTGGGTGGAGAAATCCAGCCCCACTTCTTTCAGAGATATACCACATAATGAACTTCAGCAGGTTCAAAGAAAAAGCATGACAAAGTTTGTTTCAGCTATAGTAGTTTTTAACAGAATAACAGAGTTGGAAGGAACCTTGTAGGTCATGTAGTCCAACCCCCGCCTCCCAAGCAGGAGACCCTACTACACCATTTCTGACAAACGACAGTCCAATCTCTTCTTGAAAGCCTCCAGTGATGAAGCTCCCACAACTTCCGAAGGCAACTTCTGTTCTATGAGTTGATTGTTCTCACTGTCAGAAAATTTCTCCTTATTTCTAGATTGAATCTCTCCTTGATCAGTTTCCATCCATTATTCCTTGTCTCGTGCTATTAACTAATGTATAGTTCAGTATTTTGTTTTATTTTACGAAAAGTATTCCCAGCACGATGAGGTCTAGAAACCTACTAAATTTGAAACAACTCAGCAGAGAGAGGAGGAAATGTTTTTAAAACTTGAATTTACACCCATACCTTCTGCTTGGTGTCCCTGCTAGAGAAAGTGTTAATTAGCTTCTGTTCGAGATCAATCAACAGATTGTAGGAGTGGCAGAAAAATAGCAAAGGTTAAGAAACTGCTGCCTCTTGATACTTATATGTAATACAGATAGTAGTCGACTTACAACAGTTCAGTTAGTGACCATTCAAAGTTACAATGGCATTGAAAAAAATGACTTATGACCATTTTTCAGTTACCACCTTTGAAGCATCCCCATGATCATGTGATCAAAATTCAGGAGCATGGCAGCTGGTTCACACTTAACGACCATTGTTGTGTCCCAAGGTCATGTGACCACCTTTTGCGACCTTCTGACAAGCAAAGTCAATGGGAAAGCCAGATGCACTTAACAACCAGGTTACTAACTTATCCACTGCAGTGACTCACTTAACAACTGTGACAAGAAAAGTCATAAAATGGGGCTCACTTAAAAAATGTCTCATTTAACAACAGAAATTTTGGGGCTCAATTGTGGTCAAAAGTCAAAGACTGCCTGTACAGATATTTAAAGAAATTGGTAAAGCATTTTATGAATATATGCTCTCATCTGAATTCATGTAGTGCTGCAATTAATTAATTGCAGTTTTTAAAACCCCACCTCATCCAGTCACCCAAAACCAGAGCTGCACCTTTTAACCTTGTTGTGTTTGTGTGATTTCTTGCAGTTTGGAAGGTCCATAGGTTTTAATTAATTTTCTCTCCTCTCCCTTAATCCCTCTTAAAATTTATATATTGATCTCCCTATATTTCTAGCTCTTTATTTTTCCTTGATGCATTTGATTGAAGAAATTGAATTTTGCAGATACTTCTGTATAAAATGTTATGGCAGCTTCACAAAATTCACTTAACTTTGAATATTCCCCACTAACCATTGCTTGGGGAAAATCTGGGACCCTCACAGAATTGATTGAAAGATGGACAGCCATATAAATGTTTTGGATAAATGGATGGATGGAGAGGGAGGGAGGGAGGGAGGGAGGGAGGGAGGGAGAGAGAGAGAGAGAGAGAGAGAGAGAGAGAGAGAGAGAGAGGGAGGGAGATTAAGGATATATTAAAAAAGGGAAGGACATTGCATGCCACTCACAAATTCAGATGATAATTGCTTGTATGAATGAATCAATCATCAGTACCGGATTGCTTCAGTACCAATCAGCCCTAATTAGATTGCATCAATACTCCATGTCTCAAATACCATATTCTTCATTCATAGTACTGATATTTAGTGCAAACAAATCGAGCAGTCCACCGGCACTTATGAATTCATTTTTATATAGGCCTATTTTTATTCAGAGTGCAGAAAGTTTTGCTTATTAAGAAGTCCTTGTACACTTCAGAAGGTGGTTCTGAAAGAAGGGAACGGTCCCATGCAAATTGTCAAAACTGCATTAGTGAGACCTGGGGGAGGCCGATGAGTTAATGCCAAGACAAAGACGTTGCTAATTGTTTGAACCCTTTTGCTGCTTTCATTACCTATCTGGAAGACCATTAGTGAATAGTTTAATTAATCTTAGGCTCTGCAGTTGAGTGGGATAAATGAGTACAACAAGCTCAAATAAGTATTTACTGGGGAAGTGTTTCTGAAAAGGCTTCAAGTTCTGCATGAACTCTCGTGTTCCCCAAATGTACTGTTTTGATTTCTCACGTGTGTTTTGTGTGTGGGGTATA